AATTAAAGGCAACTTAGTGAAAGATATTGTACCTTTGTTTGTGAGCAATAAAGTCATAATCACCAATATACAAATGAAAAGATATAAACCGAAACGATTCTTCATTTTTGATGTTATAAGAAATAAGAATTTGTGATTTATAATTGATAAAATTATTTTCTAGTTTGTCGGGTTTGTCAGGTTTGTCTTGGAAATATATATGTTGTAAGTGGAATGGAATTTAAATGGATTTGGGTTAGAGTTAGGGTGTACATATGATAAAATCAACCCAGAACGGGGTTTTATATATAAATTCCGAATCCACTTAAATTCCGTTTCCACTTACAACATATATATATGTTTTTGATTATTGTCTGATCGTCAAAAAATGAAACATACTAAGAGGAATCTAATTATAAACATGATAAGTACTTTAAACGCAATATATTTGTGTAGTTAAAATTTTGGTTAAATAATATGTACTTATAGATTCAATGAATTAACCAAATGGATAATTATTTTTGAACCCAGACTAATTTTATATTTATTACATAATAACATTTTGGTCTGGGTTCAACCAATTTATCGATTAACCAAATCGAGTTATGAATTTTCGTGAAACAAAGTAAGCTAAAAAATAAAAATTATGATAAATAGGTGTTAAAACGTATCTTAAACACTAATTAAAATGTTGGGAGAGCAATTTTAATCCTATAATGCATGCACTAATAAGGATATTAAAAATGCCGTCCGACCCAGTCCTTAATTAGAAACTACGTATATCGTTATAGTTCAAGCCCCTGTCTGATAATTGAATTACGTACGTACGTTGTAAATCGTGGCTCGTAATAGAATTTTCTATTTTTGGAGGGTTGGATACATATTAAATTTAACCAATCGGGTGAATATTGGCTCATTTCGTATGCTGAGGTGGCTCAGATCGAACCTAGCCAAAATTAGTTAGTATGGGGGAAATGGCATTTATTCAATTTATCGCATTTAGTCGATTTATCGCATTTATTCAATTTATCGAATTTATTGAATTAATCGTATTTAGTGCAATTAGTCGATTTAGCGAATATATACATTGTGTATCTACTAAGTAGTGCGAAAGTATAAAAGCACTGCCTTTTGCATGCAATAAAGATAGCTCTAACTTTGTGAATAACTTTGTGAAGTTCAAATTATATAAGTTCCAAGAAAACCTTCGAAATTAGAGTAGAAGCGTTTGTCTTTGACCCTCTTGTAAAAACTCAGTGAGTTCAAAAGTGTATAGCTCTAACTCGGTGGAGTTCAAAGTTCCAAGTTAAAGAAATAAGAGTATTTAACTTGTGATTAGTAAGTTCTTTAAGTAGAAGCATTTGTTCTACTAACCCCCCCCCCCCCCGATAAGTAAAATCCATAGTTACGATTGGAATTCGTGACCAAATCCCGTGATTCTGAATAAAGAGATTCGTGACGTAATCTAGAGCTCTAATCTGACACTTATCGCTAAGAACCCAATTAACCCTGGTTACTCACCCCCCAAATCGAATATCTATCAATCAAGCCAAATCATGTCAATATCCCAAGAGAAATACCCAGTATCGAACAAAAGAGACCCCACCGAAGCAAGTTCAAGAGAAGTCTTGGAATTATGAACCACGCCGAAGAACCTTTAAAAAAAATATCATGGTGCATATATTGTAATAGAGAAGTGCATAACGTGTCCACATGTCCGGCTGTAAAAAAATTAGATGCAGAATGTACAATGCTCCTTCGAACACTTACCTCGGAGCAAATCGAAGTGGTTCAAGAAATAATTAATGAAAATTTTGAGGGTATCCTTGACGATGAGCAAATTCCCGAAGCTCTGGAGCTTACATTGGAAGTAATAGGAGATATGATAAATAATAATGATGAGGAAGTGTCTATTTTATACTTACCATCTTATATCCAAGTGACCCCAACTGTGAAAAGAAAAAATCCGCCCCTTGCACCTCCAGTAGTTCCAAGCCCGGAAGTTCCCTCAACACAGACCCAGTACAAAAAAGAACCTACCCCTAAAAATTTCGATTACGTCCTTGATAAACCTGTAAAAAGGTCCCCTAGAAATGCGAAATCTAATTTTGAGGAAGGAAAAATCGATTTCGAGCCCCTCCTACAAAAGTTAGTTGACCAGTGCGAAGCCATTATTCAGAAATGGTTCCCTGAAAAGAAGAAAGAGGCTATACAAGAGCTCTTAAAGGAGCATGGCATTAAAAATGATCCAAATGACGGAATTGGAGTTTGAAAAGATCAACATAAGGCACCCATCTACTATCAAAACCCGGCAGAAATAAATTATGATGATAAACAAGGCAACCTTAGGTGTTGCTATAAAAATGGAATTGTAGTTAATAAGGATAAACATGAGACGATCAGTGACGATCATGCTAATAAGCAAAATAGTCTTGACAATTGTCTCTATGACGGGATTAAAGCTTAAATGGACGATCGAAAGGCATTTAATAGCCCTCAAAAGTTGGCCGCTGTGGGTTGTTCTACGGAAGGAACTGATTTTGGATTCTGCTACCAAAATGGAATTGGTATCGAAGAGAATAAACATAATGCAGTCATTTATCATCAAAGGCCTGCAGATACGGATGATGCTAATGGAACATATCCTGTTGGACCCTGCTATGAAATTGGTATTAGGAAGGATGAGAAAAAAGAAATAAGAGTTGAAAAGAAACTCTTGACAGCTTACCTAAAACATGCAGGAAACAATGATTCGGATGGGAAGTATGATTTCGAACTCCGCCAGCAAAATGGAACGTGGATTGAAAAAGATGAGCATAAGCTGTTCGCCTATTATCAAAAGCCAGTAGATGTCAGTAGTAAGTCTGAATCAAACAAACTGAATCAGGAGAAGAAAAAGAAAATAAAAAACATATATACAAGGCTTGGAGACATCGACAATGACAAAACCACGGATGAAAGTGATCCGGAGACACTGACTTGTAATAATAATGGGAATGACGAAAGAATAAATAATGATATATCCGAAAAGTTTTGGGAAAAAGAAGCTCTGCACCATAAGTGTGAAGAATGGCTAAGAAAAGTTGATGAATACCAAATGACTACGTACGAAATAGAAAGACCTACCGCAGTTAGATGATACCGGAATAGTACTGAAGATAATAAATCGAATATACGTTTTGATCCAAGTGGACCTTGTCATCAAAATGGAATTTGTGCTGATAAGAATGAAAATAAAATGCTCATATATTATCAAGAATTGACAACGTTAATAAAACGTATAGAGTTGGGCCCTGTTGTGAAAGGGTGGTTGAGATTGAAAAGGATGAAAAAGGGGCAATTGAATGGAACTTGAAATCTGCAAGAAGCCTTGATGAAGCATGCGAATCCTGAAATAGAAGGGTTAACGAATTTAGAAGGATGATCAAAGATGACCAGAACGAAATAAAGAACCTATATCTAATCGATCCTGGAGAACCTCCTCCAGATGTGGTTCTTGGATCTTGTCGCCAAAATGAACTCGGTTTTGAAAAGAAAGAACAAAAGAGATATAAGGATTGTACTAAAAAGAATAAGAGAGTGCTTCCTTGTGGACGACCGATAGCTGCCTCAATGAATCGTATTGATAAAACACGCGATCATGAATTCTCTAATCGAAATAGTATTGATATTGAAACAGAAAGAGAAGTGGATATTAAGGATGTCAATAATAATAATAATAAAGAAGATTGTAAAACGTTAGTAGATGACGGTGAAGTCCTTGAAGAAAAGGATACACTTTTCTAATACTTACCGGCACATAACCTTAGCAACCACATGTCGATTCTGGTGGAAGAATTTAAGGAAACATTTAGTGATTGAACTTCTCTGATGAAAAAAATAGATCAGTTGGGTTATGCAAAATGAAAAATCAACATTGCGTAACCTTATTATCATTGATTTATTTTATATTTTTTTATTTTATTTTATTATTTTTCTCCTTGTTTCTTTTTCATAATTATTCGTATTTCTCAATTTTCTTTA